GCCCAACAATTGGGGGACGACGGGGCGCTTACTTACTCCAACACCTGTAACGGGCAGCATTGACAGAAGGGATGTCCCTGATTCCTTCCTTGGAAATCACAAATCATCACAACCCATCCTCGGACCGTGTTCACACGGCATGATTAATTTATCGGCTAGATCTAACTGCCACGTCGTTAGTTGATGTGTGCGATTGCTGTTCAGGGATGGTTTTCTCTATTTTGCGCTTCGGCAGGTTACCTTATTGTGTGAAGTCTGGTCGTTTGATTCGTTTAAAGTTCATTGCATTGTGAGATCCATCCAGTATATTTTTTTAACTCAGTAACTATCTTCCTAAACTGAGGCCAAAATGGCCTCTGCCTCTCTCCCCATCATTTCCCCCAAAATGGAGAGGCGAAGTTTGCAGAAGTGAAGAAGCCCGGGGGCCAATGGCCTTGCAAGATATGCCGACCCTGGACGATCACTTGCGTTAGTTGTACGGCCAAGGCAGAAACCTTTCCTCTCGCTAATAGTCGGCGCGCTAACAGAGGTTTAAAAAACCAACCCAAACCCTCAAGGCTGCAGATCAGAGGTAGGGAACAGTGGCCCTTTGATGACTTGGGGACTTCAGCTCCCATGCTGTCTCAGGAATTCTGGGAGTTGAAGTCCACAAGTCATGAAAGGGCCATAAATGGCTCTCCACCCTTGCTCTAGCTCAGCAAGGAAGGAGTCAAAACAGTCAAGATGGCGATGCTCATAAAAAGCAGAAATGTCGATTGCAGCACAAGGACCTCGACTTTTGACCTCTCCCTTCGGACACCCCTGAACCTGAGGCTGCTTTTCCTCCGAGAGGTTCAGGACTCATTCCATACCAAAACTTGTAACGGGTGATTGCCCTGATCCTGACCACATTCAGTGGAAGCGCAAAAAGGTCTGGTTCATTCTAAATCGGTGTCAAATCGCGCTTCCTAAGAAGCGGTTGGTAAATCAAGGGTCAGGTTAGCTCCACACAAGAAAGAGGTCACAAGCTCGGCTTACAAGGCAATTGTATTATTTCGTGGTTATTTTGGATTAAGGGGAAATTGTATTTTTTACAAGCTTTGATCAGAAGAGTCTGTGTTCCTTATTTTTCCGAGAACAACAACAGGATGTCGCAAACTGATGCCTTTTGGAACAAAAGGTGGTTTTTTTTTAAAAAAAGAGCCGGGCTGAAATCTCACCCGGGAGGGAATCTACCTGTGTCCTGTGTGGACTATTGAGACTTGAGCAGGCAGCTTCTCCTTCTTTCATCTCCCATTCTCTGGAAGACCAGGACTCTCCCAACTTCTGCCTAGTCTTCTGGCGGGTTTCGGCGGCCTGCCTTTTCTAGTGAACTTCCCCACATTCCTTTAACACATAGGGATCTATGTTGGCGTGCCTACACTAAAAGAAAATCCTACTCCAAGTGCATATACACTTATGTGGCGATGCTCCTGATCCAAGTGACAGGTGCTCCCCACGCACTCCGGTATGGAAAGAAAGGCCGAGAACAAATTCCAGAGGGGCGCTTTTTGCTGGAATCCGCAAAATGAGCCCCCCCCCCCCGACGCCCCAGAGGAATGTATGAGGTTGAGGATATGGCTTTAGTCGCAGGGTGATCGTCCTGCAAACGTGAGGATCCCTACTTTACTGAAAAAAGGGGGTGCGTGTATGAGTGTAGGTTGGCTTTAATACCCTGAAAGATGGAATAATCCCGAGAATAGAAAATTCCTTTGGAAAACGGGATAAATTGCGTGCAAAACGATTCCTATTAGTTTGAGATAGGAATGCACTGAAGGTCATAATCTACACCATCCGGGAACCGTGGTCCATCTACTACTTCCGGTACAAAAATGTTTCTCCTAAAGCAGTGTTTCTCAACCATGGTGACTTTAAGTCCTGTGGACTTCAACTTCCAGAATCCCCCAGCCACCTGGCTGGGGAATTCTGGGAGTTGAAGTCCATAGGATTTAAAGCTGCCAAGGTTGAGAAACACTGTTCTAAAGGAAGGGATTTCTATCTTGAATTGCCTATAAGCAGGGAATTTGGAGTTGGTCTCCGGGGCGCGTTGAACGAAGAGAGCGCAGCTTCCCTCTCCGATGCAAGATGGTGAGAACTTGGCAGAGGTCTACGGCCGTAGATCTAATGAGTCTTTCCGTTTAGCAGGTTGGAGGCAACGGGCCCCGTTAGTTCACCTCTCGGGATTAAAGCTCCGACAATTGAGCACCCGGCTACTTGATCTGCGGGATCTGATTTCTGAAATAACAGATGTTCGAGCCTGCCTGCCTGCCTACCTGACTTTGACTTTCATGCTCAGAGATCCCAGAAATCAGATAATCATTTTATTTTTGATAATAAGAGACACTTTGATAAAAATATCTTTTCTTTCCTCTTCTCTGCCTCTTTCATGCAAGGGTCACTTGGAAGTTAGGGAGAGCTTGGAGAGCTTGCATTCTTTTCATACCAGGGAGGTGATTTCCTTATTTTCTCTCTCAAAACAAAAACAAAAATGTTAAAGAACTAGCTCAATGGTGGAAGCAGTGAATAATGATGAACAGGTGGTCAGTCAAATACAAACCTCTTTGAAAGTTAGAGTAGTTTGTACCCTAATTTATATTAATGTATTTAAATTTAAATTAATAGTTGAACCAGATCTGTCTCTCATGGGCTGGATTGCACATTCTCTCCACCACTTTCTCCCCAGGCCTAACGAGTTCATTCCTACTTGTGCGTCTTAGCCTCTTTCGGCTCCATTCTCCCCCCTCCCCCGTATATATTTTTTTATCTCCCAGGAATGCAAGACAGGCGGGATCTTTTTTCCTTTTATCTCACAACAATCCTCAGAGGTTGAAAGAGGAAAACCATGACAGGCCTTTAGTGAATTTTGTGGGTGAGCGGGGAGCCTCCAAACTTTGGGTGGTCTTGGGTGGATTGGAATAGGTTTACCTAAAACTTGTCCAGATATGATTCTAGCTATAAACCTATGAAGGCTTACTTTGAGAGGGGGCAGTTCCAAGAGACAGCCAATTTGGTATAGAGACTGTGTGGGTTCTAGCTCTGCCTTAGGCACAAAAGATGACCTTGGGCCAGCACCTCTCTCTCAGCCCTAGGAAGCAGCAGTGGGAAATCATACTGAGATTTTGCCAAGAAAACGGCAGAAGAAAAACAAGGCAAAATCATTCCAAGAGATGAATTTAAAAACTTTTCCCTTTTTGTCAAATGATGTTCTTATGATATATGTCACTACAGCATTTGTCTAGCATGTAAACAGGCACTTGTAAATTATGTTGGAAATGTGGGCAATAGGTGCATTTTATCATGTTTGGTGGGCATATAAAAAAACCAGAAAGTTTTGGATGCAGATATAGTCATTAATACAGAAGATCTTAAAAGCTAATATACAATTGAAACCAGAGACTTTTCTTTTGGAATTGATGGACAGAGAGTTGGAATAAAAGTCATAAAACTTTGTTTTTATGTATGATAACTGTAATGAGATTATTATATACTCAAAAGTGGGAATACTTAGCACTATCTTCTGGTAATGGAATAGTTGGAAAAGATGTGGAAGTTGCAGAGATAGCCAAACAGGCCACCAAGATTAGAAAAAAAAGATAACATATATGTTTATTGCTGAACTGGAAATCCCTTATAGACTTTTTCATGGAACAGAAGAAAATGATCATATGATTTGTGGCTTTAACTATTATAAAAAGCAGATAATAGGGGAAAGGGGACCTTTTCTTATTGTAACCATTGAGGAAAAGGTAATTTTGTAGTTGTACTTATATTTACCGCAAAACTAAAGGATTAGAAGCTACTTTCTTTTTCATTTTTTTCTATTTCTGTTCTCTTTTTCGTTCTGTTAGCTTTTAACATTTTTCAAAATTCTTAATAAAAAAATATAAAATAAAATGTATCTTGAATGTATCTTGTCTTTTTATGTTCTGTTCTGTTTTATTCTAAAATCCCTTGCCTCCCGCCTATTAGGAGCATTCTGAGGAAAGGAATGACGTCAAAAGGTGCTTTTCAGCCTGGCCAAGAACCAGGCTGAGCAAGATTATGGTGAAGGCAGAAAAACCCTGCCCCGCCCCCTCACTGGTTAACCTCGCCCAACCTTTAGAAAGTGTGGCAACTTTCCATCCGCTGCATCCCGTTGTTGGGTTGGGCAAAAGTCCTGCCGAATTCTGAATTCCAGCTGGAAACTCTTTTCCGGAAGAGATGTAGGTAGAAAATGTGTTCACATTACATTTTGATTATATTTCCAGAACAAATAAATGCCCTCGCTCAATGAAAGAGCCCGTTTGGTTAGAAAACAGGTGACATGAAATTAGAACCTCCATTCTCCCCCCTCGGGGGGGGGGGGTGTCATTTCGCAATCTCTCCCCTAGAACAATTCGGGTGGCAATTCGACTGATTGAATATTAACTCATCTGTAACACAGGCAACCCGAGTATCATTGTGGGGTGGGTGGGGGTTGCCAGAGGCGGGAAGAGGCAGCCCATGAGGCGCCTAGGATCGTGGCGAAATAAAAGTGTTGCCCATTCAAGCCTTCGAATCAGTGGCCATAACACACCAGTGAGCAATCTCAACCGGCCTTCTGAGGCCACATGGGAAGAGTACTAGTATGCCCTCAACTTTGGACTCGGCTTGTGTCCTTTTGATTTTAGGTCTATGTGGCCTGTTAGTTCTTGCAGCTGGCGTTGATCTTTATTTGGCAGCGAGTTTTTCTACCGTAGTGATCTTTTGGAGGCCAAGGGTACATTAAGACTCTCAGTTGTTGAAGGAGCATCAGTCAAGTACCACGCAACTGCTGAGCCGAAGGAGTTAGTGGGCTGCGCTATGCTGCGAGAGCCTGAGCCCATATTTCTGAAGACAAGAGCACTTCAACGGAAATGAAGGGACAACACAACAGACGTCCTTCTTCTATCTCTCTTTCTTTTAATTATTCTCATTATTTTAAAAATGTGAACAGCGGGTCACTTTTTTTTGCAACCAAATAATAAATATTATTTAGGAACTTTTCCATTTCTTTATTTTATAGATATATATAAAAATAAACAGGTGATTAAAAAATCTCTCGAAGGTGACAGAGCTAAGAAGGGGAGAAGGAGACCTTATTCAGAAATAAGGGCGGGAGGGGGGTTTAAATATAACAGCACAAGCCAATCTTAATGTCTCCCTCCCCCTCCCCTTTTTTCTTTTAACCTTTATGCTCGAGCAAGAAAAGGAAGTGTTGTGGCTTCTAAAAGGGGAAGGGGAAAAAAGATCCATAGGCCCACACACTCAGGAAACTCTAAAGGACCCCCCCTTTGCTCCTGCCCGGAGAATGGATCGAGGAATGCCACCCTTAACCCTCGGAGGCAACCCCAGATGCGGGGACTCCGCTTTATCTTGGTTTCCTCGTGTTTGCTGCTCCAAATACAACACTAAAGGCCTTGGGCTCCATCCAGCCAGAGCTTCTAGGCAACGCCTGCGACCATCTACTCAGGGTCTGACTCCCTTTGGAATAAACTTTCCAAAGTCAAGATGGAAGATCTTGGGGCTTAAAACTGCTTAACTTCGATTGGATCGCGCCCAAGACGCTTTCTTCTGAGTAGAGTAACAGGATCATTTTGTTCCTGAAAGCCTTACAAATCTACATTGTGTTTAGGCTAAAAGCCAATTATACTCTGAAATCAGTGGAGTATATTTCCACATAAGACTCTCGAACCAGTGCTACGTTTATATTGTTACAAGTTCCACTCACTCAGGGACACCCAGAGAGAAAACTAGGCGATTTCCCTCCGCGCGATCTCCGGCCCCAAAAGGTTTCCCAGTTTTAGCGAAATTGTAGATCAAACAATTAAGTCGGCCTGCAAATCCTCCCCATCTACTTTTTAAAAGAAAACAAAAATAAATTTCAAGGTGGCAAGAAACGATGGGCGTTTGGGTGCCTATCTTTGAAGGCGGCTGCCTAACCCAGGCCTGCGTCCTTCCAGCCTTTACAAAGAGAAAGAAAAGAAACCCGACTTCTCACTTCCAACAGCGGTGCCTGCAGCGTTTCCACCCAAACTGGGGCTGGCAGGGGAGCGAAGGCGGCAGCGCAGTTCCGCGAAGGACGGCCTGTAGCATCCGGGGCTTTGGATTCGCTCTCTTGGAAAGTCCTGGAGGAAACCTACCTTGGGCTGGTGGACGTGCGCAAGTCCTGGCGGGCGATTTCCTCCCCCCCCAAGGCGTCATCCCCGCTCCCGGTTGCCTGCCCTCCCCTCCCTCCTTCCCGCCGCGCCGCCTTTTATTTGGCGTCGCCGGTCAATCTGGGCAGATTGGGCGCGTTCAGCCCGGAGACGTGGTGGTGCGACGGGGCCGGCACCTGACACATGCTGCAGGGACACGGCATCCCGCCCCAGTGCTGGAAGCCGCTGCTTAGAGGAGCCGCGGCGGCGGCGGCGGCAGCTGCGGCAGCTGCGGCGGCGGCCGCAGCGCTTGGCGGAGACTTGAGCAAGCCATGCGAGGGTCGGATGGAGCTGACGGCCGACAGCCCCGCGGAGCCGGGCAGGGAAGCGCTGGAGACGGCGGCGGGGGGCAAGATGGGGTGGTGCACGGCGTGGGAAGCCGGGTGAGCGGGCAGAGGCGCGGCGTGGCCCACCAGGCTCCCCGAGCAAGCGGCGGCGGCAGGGTGAAAGCCTGTGGCGTGGTGGCCGCCGTAGATCTCGCTGAGCAGGCGCTTCATCTCCTCCAGTGAGTTGGTGAGCATCAGGATGTAGTTGCGGGCCAGCAGGAGAGTGGCGATCTTGGAGAGCTTGCGCACCGAAGGGCCGTGCGCGTAGGGCATGACCTCCCGCAGCCCGTCCATGGCGATGTTGAGGTCGTGCATCCGCTTGCGCTCCCGGCTGTTGATCTTCAGGCGCAGCTGCTGCAGCTCCGGCTCCGTCATTTGCTTTTTGTCCTTCTTGGACGCCGAGGACGAGGACGAGGAAGAGGAGGACGAGGAAGACGAGGGCGACTTGAAGGCCAGCTTGTCCACCACCACCACCCCGGCGGCACTCATGGCGCTGCGCAGCTCTGCGCTGAGCTCGGCGGGGGAATCGCTGGGAGTCGAACTGGATACGGCGCCGCCCGCCGAGAAGCCCCCGCCGCTCTTGCTCCTGGCCGACACGAAGAGCTCATCGGGCTCCGGAGACGAAGGGCGGCTCGACACCAGGCTCGCGTCCGAGTCCATGCTGGCCCGCCGCCCCGGCTGCCTGCGGAGGAAAGAGAGAGACAAGCGGCGTCAGGCAACGGAGCAGCCCAGTCGATTGCCGGCAAAGATTTCCAAGGATGGCGGTCGGGGCTTTCAGCCGAGGGTCGGGCGTCGGTGAAGCCCCGAACCGGGGCTCGAAGAGGTCAGCCCAGATTCGCGCGCGCTTGCCGGCAAACGCGGATAAAGCCAGGTGCCGGTACTGAAAATGTGGGGCACGTCTGAATAACGGAAAGTTAAAGCCCCGGGACCTCAAGGGGTGGGTGGGTTGGTTAAGACCTATTTAATTTAGTTGGCTTGTGGCCAATATGTTGGCTAAAGCATTTTTTTTAAAATTAAAAATACACCATTATTTATTTGTAAGCCTGAAAAATGACCCATTCCTCTTCTCTGGTCTCAGATCTGTTTGCCTAAATCATTAACGATAAATATCCACGAAAATAACCTGCTTCCCCCCCACCCACCGCCCCATTTCCAGCATTAAAAAAATATATCGAGAAATGGGTCCGCTGTGGTGACTCTGCTGTAGTTTAATGTATGGTTCCAAGAAACGGTTCAATTGCTTTGAGGACCACACGATTCCTATCTATTTGAAATCTCAGCCCACCTCCTTGCTTTCTCCCTCCGCGCCAGCAGAAACTAAAAAAAAAAAAAAAACGGCCTTGCTTTGCCTTTCTCCCGCCAAACACCAGAGCGCCACCCTTACCCGAAATTAGATGTTAAACGGGCAACCTGAAAACAAACTTTTGACAAGTTTTACATGGTTGGCCAAAAGTGTTGTGGACTTTTCTACTTGAACTGCATTTATGTCCCATTTAAATTTGCTTTCTATTCTTTCCATTGATTTAAGATCACCTACTTTAACAGATTGCATCAAAGTATTTTAAAAAAAAAACCCTACCCAAATAAACCGCAGGGCTTTCTAGAGAAGTTTTATCACTGAGAAGCGTTCCTCAGCCAACTACGCTGGCGCCCTCTCTACTCGTCTCTAGTCCGAAATAACTCTATGCCAGGCGGCCGCAAAGAAAACCTTCTCCATACCCCCAAGGAAAATTTCTTCTCCAAAGAGTCCACTAGAACAAGATAAATATTTCCTCGTTGTATTAGTTCTACTTTGACACTTGTTTTTCTCAATCCCCTGAATAAAATTAAGTGGTGCCGGAACTACAGGGTCCATAATATTTCTTGGGGAACAGGTTCTCCAGAGGGAGAGGTCTTCCGAGCGCCAAAAGGAAGCCTGGCGAGAGAGAAAAATTTAATCACCCACGGCTCCCGCCTGATACGGCGATCGGCTAATCTGCGCAGCCTGTGAACCAGCCGGCAAATGAATGGGACGGAAGACTTACAGTTCGGAGCGGGTCTCCCTGGCCAGCCGGATCCGCTCCAGCTGAGCTGCGGGCTGCCCCCAAATACCGTTAATAAGAAGCACCTTTCCGGCTCCGGCGCGCGTTTTTATAGCCACGTTTCTCAGCCGAGCCGCTTAAAGGACAATGAATATTGTCCTGGACGGGCGGCTGCACCAATGAGCGAACTGCTGCGCGGCTGGGGGCTGGGGGTGTAGGGGCGGCAGACTGACGTCACGCCGCCGAATTCCGCTCAATGAAACGGGTTCGGACACACGCCTTCCTCGCCTCCCAGCCAATAGGGAACAAGATCGGGGCCCGGAGACAGAAGGAGAGTTTTGTGGCTTCTCGAATAAAATGCTGCAATGACAGCACCCGCAACAGCTGGTGGGGGAAAGAGGAGTCCAAATACCGCCTCGGACCTGACAAAACAATAACATTTGGGGAGCAGGACGGAGCCTGGCTCTCCACTTGGATTGGAGAATTTGAATAGGTTTCTCAGCCACTTTGGGACTTCAAGCCCGCCCCTCTCCCCGCCCGTCCAATGTAAACACTCACGGGCCACAATGCGACACTATCCCGCACTTAGTGAGCCACTTATCTCCGGCCCGGGTGAGCCCCCTTTGCCCTGGAGACCCATCCATATCTCTTGCAGACACAGAGAGATGTAACTTCTTCCATGCTCAAAGGACACCCTGCCCACCCGGCGCGCCCCCCCCCCATTCTGTCGGCAATGAATAGGAGTTGCCTAAGAAAACAGGCGGTGCAACTTTCCTTTGCTGCTCTGGCCAAACTAGGAAAAGGAAAGGGGAAAAAAGGAAAGAAAAAGGAAAGAGTTAAAGAAATCTCTAAGGAGACCAGCTATTTAAGTATAGAGAGAGAAGAAGCGTGGAAAACTGCAACGTTTCTACCATCAGGAATCGAAAAATCCTTCCAGTTTTAATGCCTTTAAAAGGATCCCGAACTATGAAAAGTTGTCCTTCGCTGTCAGTCTTTCTCAAAGACTTAATCTTAAAAACGAATCGTATCGTATCGCGGATTTTTTTTAGAGTCTGTTAAGGTTTCCATTAAAGGCAATTGTGAATTAGGCCATTAGTCATTAGGAAGAAGGTCCTCGCGAGCTGTTTGAAACGATTTAAATCAATTTCAGACCGCCCAAACTTGAGAACATCGCCTTAAAGCTGGAACTTCTGATTTGGACAAAATGCGCTAAGCCGCGAAGCGCTTTGGCCAGCCCTTCAGATTTCGCCGCTGGCAGAGAGATTTCGGCGCGCTTAATGGGAATCCAGGCACGGTGGTCTGTTTCTTCCGATGCGTTGAGCCTGGAAAATTGGCTTTCTGCAACTTGCTGCCGAGGCGAAATAAATTCTTTCCCTGGTGGGCGGCCTTGGGACCGAAGAGCAGAGACAAGTTACTGGGCAGTGTTCGCTCTCTTTTGAACAAATTGTGGTGCTCGGCTCGCCCAAAGCCTGTCTTTCTTTTTTGTTACAGCACTCTACCGACTTTTTTCCAGCTGGCTCGGGAACTCCCAGCAATTTGCTTAAATATCTGCCCCCCCCCAACAGTTTGAAGTGAGGCGCGAAGAATGTTTATTTTTTTTAACGGTTCTTATGATGATCCATGATGGGACAATTAGACTAGAATGTGGAGGCAACAGGCATATCCTGGACTCTCGTTGGCAAGCGGAGGAAGGGAGGAGATTCTCCCCCACTCCTTACCAGCTCTCGCCAAGAACTTTGAGCCAAAGTAGTTGGAGAAAAGGGGCTTAAAACTATGGCGGAGGACAAACAAAATCCCCAAACGGTTCTACGGAGATCCTCGAGGGCGCCGCTCAGTCAATGGGCAGGACTCTGCCAACGCGGAGCACTTTAGCCACATGGTGAGGTTTCCTATTAAAATTCCTATTAAGTCCCATGGGTAATGAGGTTTATGCCAGGTAAAAAAGCCTTGCATCTCAGCCAACCTCCTCTCACACCTTCGCTCTGGATGGGAAGGAGCTGCTGAAAGGCGAGCTTTTTCTCTTAAAAGGTCGGAGCCCAGAGGCTCTCCCAGGCTTAATTTTGCATCTGAATCAGGCTGTCCTCAGGACACCGTAAAAACCCATTATACAGCAGAATTGAGATTACATGGCTTTAGATCCTGGTCTTTGTTTAACTGGATTATGAATCGTTTTACCCAATCCTTTCTCTCACACATTCTTCAGTTCCTCCCTAAATTCTATAGACACGTATTGGCCCTACAATACGTGTCTATTGTAGGACTGAAGCATTAGAGGAATCCAGTGAAATTATGCAACCTGCTAACTTCCCTATTTTATTCGTAAAAATACAAGGCCACGTAAAGATCGATCAATCTTTTCCTTGCAATGGCCAGCCATTGACTATGGGAAGCCCACAAAGGGGAAAAAACACCATTCTCATGTTCATTGACAACTGAATAAGGAGGCTTGTTGCTGCAAACCCTGAAATTAATATATGACTATGACAACCATTAGCAACAGCCTGATTTTCTGTCTGTCTTACTTTCTGGTAAAATTGCCCAAAAACCTGACCTCTAGCATATTCCATAAATTGCAAATCACTGTTTATGTTCATTTCTTAATTGCTGTGGGAAGCAGAAAAAAAATCTTGTTTTTTTCATTACAACCTGCACCTCTTTTAAATACGTAAATAAATACTGTAATACACTATATTACAGTAATACCATAGTCATAAATTCCTTCCTTCCCACTAGCTGTTTTTCCTTGTAACTGTTCCGCACTAGAGGCTGTAAGTGCCTTGCCCTCTTAATCAAGTTGTTCCTTTTCTGATTGATTCCTAATTCTACAATATCCTTCTTGAGATATGGTGGGCAGATCTATGCAATATAAACACAGCACAAGTATAAAGCCCAGATTTTCACTGAGCTATCTCATACTCAATCCAGTATCTTTTTCCTGATCACATTTTCTTGACAATATATTTTGGAAGAGGTTTGCCATTGCCTGCTTCCTAGGGTGGGACAGCTGGCTTTGTACCTAAAGTGGGACTAGAATTCAGCCTGGGGCATTAGTCACTACATCAAACTTGCTCCTAATCAATCTAAAACAGAAATTAAGATTTCACAGAGATCTCTATCTCAGATCTCAGATCACATCAGCATACATTTGAAATGAAGAGGATGTTATGAGCAACACCTTCTTTGTGCATACATAGTCCTTCTGAGAGGCATCCAGTTGTTAAAAATCAAAAGTCGTATTTTATGGAATACCCAGAACTCCTGTAGATAAAAAAATATAGAGGGCAGATTTTAGGTGAACAAATGCAGAGTTTGTACTGAAACGAAATAAAACACTCTTATAAGGGGTCTTATAAAATCCTCCTTTTTTATTGTAAATGTTTTTTTACTGTAAAAATGGGCTGTCAGCTACTTTTTCTTAATTCTTCCCAAGGTTGTAATGTAATTTAACATTATTTCTATACTAGAAAAAATATTCATTTAATTTGTATCCCAGCAGCCCCGCTGATATACAAATTTAATAAATAAACAAACAAACCACTTATCATGCCTAGAGTATCTTTTTTTATTCTACCTGAAACTGAATCACACAGACTTTCAGTCAGCTTGCCTGCTGAAGATTCCTTAGATCAGTGTTTCTCAACCTTGGCCACTTGAAGATGTCCAGACTTCAACTCCCAGAATTCCCCAGCCAGCGAATGCGAATGCTGGCTGGGGAATTCTAGGAGTTGAAGTCTGGACATCTTCAAGTGGCCAAGGTTGAGAAACACTGCCTTAGATATTCCAAAGTTTGTGACTTTATAAATCTTGTTGACCTTAAAGGTATTCTTTAATAGGGATACAAGAGTATATGGGCAACTATAATACTTTTTCCCCCAGATGGAGTCTTGTCATAGGAGATGGCAACCCCTGGATAACCTTGCTTGATCTTGGCAGCTAAGTAAAGCCAGCTGATTACTACCTGGATAGGTGGGACTTTTCTAGAAAATCACAGAACTGTGACGTTGAACGAGTCAATGGCAAAGCAGTTCTGAGGCTTACTTGCTTCTGAGTAGACATGCAATCCTAGTCCCACTAAGGCAGTGTTTCTCAACCTTGGCAACTTGAAGATGTCTGGACTTCAACTCCCAGAATTCCCCAGCGAATGCTGGCTGGGAAATTCTGGGAGTTGAAGTCCGGATATCTTCAAGTGGCCAAGGTTGAGAAACATTGCACTAAGGCAATCTTAATTTTTCATGATTGAAATTAAGCAGGGGGGGAGCAATAGCACATCTTCAAAGAAAACCCAGTTGCTTCTTCAAAAAGCACCTTTGGGACACCAATGTTTTTAACTACACCATGACTGAAAAAACTAATTTAGACCCCAAAACTAGGCGCTAAAAGAAGCCCTGGCTACATTGCTGCCTACCATAGACACTTCAAGGATCCAAATCCCTGTCAAAAAGGAAGGAAAGGTTTGAGGCTTTGTGAAGCTAGCTGTCCTATAATTAAAATGTCCACAAACTAGTTCCCTTTTATAATTATGACTGTTTAATCAATCATAGTTAAATAAATCGTAATTTTGCATAATGCTTGAATTCTTCATTTCAATGAATTTAATGCAGGGTGAAATTCAGCAGGTTCTAACAGATTCTGGAGAACCAGTAGCGGAAATTCTGAGTAGTCCGGAGAACCGGCAAACACCATCTCTGACTGGCGCCAGAGTGGGGAGGGAATGGAGATTTTGCAGTATCCGTCTGCCACGCCCACCAAGCTACACCCACAGGACCGGTAGTAAAAAAAAATGAATTTCACCACCGATTTAACGCCTTTTTCTTTTAAAAGAAACATGGTCAGTGGTCAGTTATGGGGAATTCAGACCTCACATCCCAATGATATTTTTGCCATTCTGGAGCCCCTAGCTAGGAGGGCACAGATCGGCTCACGGAAATCTCTGTTTGGGGAAACTCCCTTCACACAGAAATGATGAAGAAGACGGTGCAAGGGAGGAAGGCTGCTCCACTTCCGCAGAGGGAGGACAGTGGCATTCCGTTTGGGGTTGAAGTTACGAAGCCTGCCGACCGCAATGACCACCGTCGGGCTCCTGCTGGCCCAGGGGCTCTGCGCAGCCCAACACCCGCACCTTCCCCCCCCCTCCTGCTCCTC